TCCATGCTCTCAAACCTTAAGCATCCTCAGTGTCCAGACTAAGACCACGGGCTCTGGGGCTGCTCCAAGCAACAACAGGATGGGGGAGGATCAAACAGGAAGAGCCCCCAAGAACAGCTTTGAGGATTCTTTGGCCTGGCTGGTGAAGACTCAGAGCCAAGACTGGGGGGTTCAGTGTCTACAAGGAGAGTGGATGTGGAGGATTCCCTGCAAAGTGACAGTGAGAACTGGAATCAGGTGGTTAAAGGCTCTTGGGGGAGGCAGAGGCATCCCTGGTCACTTGCAAAGAGGCTGCTGTCTCTGGCAGGGGAAGAGGATGATGTGAAAAGCAAGCCCAAGATTTCAGGACGTGTGCATCTCCAGGATGTTTCAGTGCTTAGCCAGGGCATCCCGTTACACAGAAGCCAAAGGCCTGACTGGGACAACCTGACACCATGAGCTGTGGAGTGGGTGCATGAATGGGTGCCCCCGCTTTGGCTCTGCCGACAGCCCTGAACATGCAAACTTGCGGAGGTAGCCCGCACTGCCTTATTAAGATCCAGACTCTGCTTGAGCAGGAAGACACCATAGAGGCCTCTCCCTACAAGACAATACCTGCTCCCTGACCCCCTGCCCTCAGGAGCAGCCCCCACTGCCTCTCCTGGCTGCCTGGCCAGTCACCTGGGTTAAACCCAACAGAGGGCATGCTGAGCTTGTTGAGGGAGGAGAGAGATTATGCCCCAGGGGACCAGCAGGAGTTGGCCAGCATACACTGTCAGGGGAGAGGCCCTCCGAGGGCCTGGGGTGTGCGGGGCCGGAAGGCCAAAGAGAACAAGCAGGAGAACTCTGACTTGGACTCACTTTCTAGGAACATGGGATTTAACACTCCAGCATGAACCCCGGAAGGAGGCAAACACTAAGGTTTACTCCAATCACGGAGCAGAGGTGAAATGCCTGAGTTACCGCAGCAGATGGTAAAACAGGATAGAAAAAGTAGATGGAAAATAGGATCAGAAACAGTTCACACTCCTTGGAATGAACAACGGTATTCATTTACAGTTTTGCACCAGGGCTGTGTTAGCTCGCCCACCTTCTGTCTTAATATAGTCCAAAGAGATCTGGGCCATCTGGACATCCCGCAGAACAGCACACCAATTCATTACATTTGTGAAATAAAGACATGACTAGTACGCTTGGGACCTTGGTAAGAAATGTGTGTTCAAGAAGATGGGAAATAAATGCTGAAGAGTTTCAAGGACAGGCCACTTCAATAAAGCTTACAGGAGTCCTAAGACTAGGACTGAAAAAAAGGAGGTGCACATTTTTAGGGTCAGGGACATGTCAGGGTATCCCTCCAAAGTGAAGACACATGGTTGCATCTCGGATTCCCTATTACAAAGAAGGAAGTACGATGCCTGGGGAGCCTTTTCACGTTCTGGCGGCCAAGTACTTCACATCTAGGAATCCTGCTCTGTCTGGTCCATGCCCTGGAGGGCATGGCAGACTGCAGCTTTGAGTGGAGCCCGGGGCAGGAAGGACTGTACAGCAGGGCCAAGATGTAGCAAAAGCAGCCTCCCCACTTGGAGCAGAACATCTGGTAGACCCTGTGGTGTGGGATGTGTCAGTGGTAAGAAAAGATGCAGCGTAGAGTTCATGTTAAGCCCAAGGAGAATCACAGCTTAGAGCCTTGGGGTTCTAGAGCAAGGCCAGATCATCTATAATGGGGAATTAATTATACGCATCCCCTAGCGTGTTACTGAGATCTGAGAGAGGCAGTGCTTGAGGGCTTGAGTCAGCTGCACAAATAGGAAGCCTCAATCTCCGCATCACCCACGTGACTGCATCAGCCCTCCTTCCTCAGCTTTCTTCTGTGGCCATAGAGCAGGGTACCTTACAAATAGCTGATGGAGGAGGGAAAAGCCCCAGCAGAGTTGACAGGTGAATTGGCGAGGTTTGGGGGTACAAACTGAAAGTAGTAGCATTACAACCTCATTCAGGTGAGAGACAGTAGAGGGGGAATCTTCCTAATGGGCAAGAGTATACTTAGTCATCCAGGTTATGGGGAAGAAGAAATGGCCAAGGTGAGAGCATATAGCAATTGCTGTCATTGGCCAATGCCCCAACCCGTCCAGCACCTGGAAGGAAAAGGACAGTGGGAAACAAGGTCCAGGGCAAAGGCAGATGGGAATGGACACAGCAGGTGACCATTTTCACATGATAATGCCCAACAAAGTGCTAGTTGCTCAGTTGTGTCCAGCTCTTTGTGACCCCATGGACTGTAGCCCACCAGGCTCCTCTGCCCATGGCATTCTCCAGGCAAGAATACTGGAGTAGGTAACCATTCCCTTCTCCAGGGGATCTTCCCAACTCAGAGATCGAACCCAAGTCTCCTGAATTGCAGGGCAGGCAGATTCTTTCCCATCTGAGCCACAAAGGAAGCCCAATCAAAAGGCATCCACAATAACCACTGAACAACCAACAAGACCAGCTGATTCAGCCAGTTGACGTTAGTGAGCTTGCAACACTAGACACTCTAGAGCTGGCCAGGTGGGTACGTGAACGTAGTGGCCACAGTGACAGTGGCAGAGGCTACCTGTGGGCCAAGCAGTGTGAACTTCCACTTAGCAAAGCCAGTCTAACTACTGAGTCCTCTGAATGGAGACCTGCCAGCAACAGAAACCAGTGCTGAGCCCTTGAATTGGCACTGTTTCCCAGAGACCAGCAGGTCACCTACTGATAAGCTGATGACATTGGGCTCCTGTTACTCTGGAAGGGCCAGCTATTTCTCCTCATAGATAAATAGAGTCCTATTTCAAGTATGGACTTGCTTTTCCTGCCCAAGAGCCTCAGTCAGGACCACTGTCCAGAAGCTAAGAAGCACCTGATCTATAGTCATGGAAAACTACACAACATAGCATCTGAGTAGGGAACACACGTCACAGCAAAGGGGGTCATGTGATCCACACACATTACACACTGCTCCCCCAGAGGCAGCCATGCGACACAGCTGCGCTTTGGCTTTTTAAAGGTGCAGCCGAAGCACCAGCTCAGAGGCCGTAATCTACCAAAATGGGATGCTGTCCTCCAGAATGCAGAATAAATCCAAGCGAGAGATCTCTGTATGGTACTATAAAGATGACGACTACATAGGCCTGGGAACTAAGGAGTAGAAGCAGGAATGGCCCCACTTGCCATCATTCTAAATGGTCTTCTGGGGCAGTTTGTGCTTTCTGTTCCTACAGCTCTGAGCTCTGCAAAGGAGACACATTCTTGGCAGAGGATAAAGCAAGAGTTCCGCTGAGCTATGGATGCTTCCTGGATGTTTTGGACTCACTGTGTCCAGGACCAACAGTGAGAAGAGGAACTCCTTCTCAACCATGTTGGCAGCAGTGATGAACTCACATCAGCAGGAAGAGGTAAGGCTGCTTTTCTACATCAGGGATGTGTGTGATCACTGTAGAGCCCAGGTGATCCACTCAGGCGCCTCTCAGTACTTCTTAGCCCCCATGGTCACTGCAAAAGGATCTCTGCAGTAGTCTTCACCTTACAAGGGTATGATTACCAGAGTCTCAGAACCTTCAATCAAAAGATCTTTTTACCACACCTTTCTCCTGTCCAACAGTCCCTTCAGATCAGGATTTGGTCAGTATTACGGCCTGAGGCTTCTGACTTAATCCTGTTCTCTCTCTCCTTGTCTTTCACAGGCTTCCCACCCCCAATACATGTCTTGGCCTTCTAATTCTACCTTGGCATCTGCTGGAAAATTCAAAGTGACATAATGGGTTTAGGTTATTGGTTAATCCTTTCTCCATCTTGAAATAAGGAGGAAAACTGACTAGGTATATAGAGCTAGACATCATTGTTAAGTACTGACTTAACATTTCTATAGTAAAATGGGAGAAATAGTTAGAAAATGATTTATTTATTAATGAGCTTGCTCAGAAATCAAGGAAATCACAAGTCAAAACCAGTCACTAATTTGCAGAGGAAATACCTTTCATAAAGCCTGAAAACAAAAGTTCAGCAAAAATTTAAACCAAAAATATGTTCATTGTTCCCATCCTTGCTAAAACCTGGTACCTGTTGCTTGAGGAGTTTTGTTGTATGATAGTGCAGTGTTAAGTATGACTCATGGGCTTTAAGTGATACTAATCTTTGATATGATCTTTCATTAAAAGTGGTATTTTATACTACAATCAGATACATTTTCATCTTATTGATCTGATATTTCTGTGGCTCTTAAAAGTGTCACCAAACAAAGTATAATTAGGACAAGGTCTGTTTTATGTTTGGTGGTGCTGGTGGTTTGGTCACGAAGTCATGTCCAATCTTGCGACCCCATGGAGTGTAGCCTGCCAGGCTTTTCCGTCCATGGGATTTCTCAGGCAAGAATACTGGAGTGGGTTGTCATTCCTTTCTCCAGGGGATCCTCCTGACCCAGGGGTTGAATCTGGGTCTCCTGAATTGCAGATGGTCTCCTGCATTGCAGGTGGATTCTTTACCAACTGAGCCACCATCTTATTGATCTGATTTTTCTGTGGCTCTTAAGAATATCAACAAAGAAAGTAAAACTAGGACAAGGTCAATTTTATGTCTAATACACAGTAACTGGAAATTCAGAATGCACAATTAATGTTTATATTTGTGCACTTTTTAGCAAGTGTGTATTGAAAGACATAATCCGCTCTACTCAGAAGCAGTTCTTTTTTACTAAAGGAAAATGTGTTGCCAACTGCTCCGTTTCCATGGATTTATGATTCTAATAAGTCCTGAAAATAAAACCCAATCGTTGCCAAAGTCCCACTTATGTTTTACATCAATAACATGCCCTTTATCCCTGCTTATGCATTGGGAAACACAAAAAGAACATCGTTAGTTAAAAATCCATTAGTTAAAACTTTAAAGAACTGATTTGGAGGGAGGGGAGATGTGTGGGAGCTGACACCTAACACTTTATTTTTATGAAAAAGAGGAAAATTGCACAAAATAGTAACAAATTGGGGGGAAAAAAAAGGCGAACTTTTTCTGGAATACATTTGAAAGCTTATAGTTCAAATTTAAACCATTTTCAGTATGTAATGATGTTAACTCACTGCAGGAGGTCTCAAGCAATAAGAGAGATACAGTTATATCTAAGACATTCTACTTAGAGAAACAAATACACTTTACATTTAATTCTCTAATTCTGGTGACCACAAAAAGAGGAACCAGGTTACAGGGTTTAATCCTCATTTAACTGGAAAATCAAATCAAATCACCAACTTGAACTCCATTCCCTAAATAAGCAGCTCAATTTTAGCCACACCTTAGTGTGATCTGGGGGAACTTTCCAAATTCTCAGTGGCCAGGTCCCACTTCAGACTAATTAAATCAGAATTACTGTTGTTGGGTTTTTTTTTTAGTCCACAGGTGATTCTGATGTGTAGCCAAGATTGATATCCACTACCTTGGATACCACAATGATTTTAAGTTTTAGCTTACTAGTTAGAGTTGTTTTAAGTTTTAAACCGGATTAAATAACAAATCTCTGCTGCTGGATGAAAGCATATTTGCCAAGTTACCTGTAACTTTACTACAGTATTGGACAAAGAATGGAATCCAAATGCTTGTTTAACAGTATGTCTGATGGTCTTCCAGTCCTGGGGGCAGCTGTGTGACTGAGTTCTAGGTGTTTAAATAGACGGGAAAACCTGCCAGGTCTTCTCCCTCTGGGATGAAAGGATAGAGCCCTATGGGGAGGAAAAAAGAGAATTTCATCTTTTCTCCATTCTCCTAGCCCTGAACTCTGATATAAATATGGAAACTGAGAAGTATGTGTTGCAGTCAGAAAACAATAGAGAAATAAGTCAGACAGAAAAAGACAAATACGGTGTGATCTCACTCATGTGTGTAATCTCAAAAACCTGAACTCATAAAAACAGAACAGACTGATGGTTGTCAGAGGTTGGGAGGGAAGTGGGGGCATGGAGCATAGGGGAAATGGACAGATATTAGATATTTGAAGAATTAACTTGGCTAACTGTAAAATTATAGAAAACTTGTTGTTATCCTATGAAACTACAAGATACTTCCATCTGACTCCAAACAAATCAAACACTCAAGTCAATCTTACTGTGAAACTTTTGACAGCACACAGATTTGATAAATAACATCATAATAATAATCTAGGACTTAGGTATGTGACTTTTTTTTCTCCCTGGTGAGAAGGCAGATGAACAGAGTTTGATGTAACAGATTAGCCAGAAAGTTTGTTTGGGGGTTTTTCAGTAAGATCGGATAGAAAACCTCAAATGAACTTTTTGGCCAACCCAATACGTTTGACAGCTACATGGATCTGTCTGAGAGGGTGTGGGGTGATGCAAACTGTGGTGTTGAAAATGTAAATATATCTCTTTCAGGTAGGGTGTATACATGAAGATTTTATCATTATTATTGGCTAGTACATACCATTCTATCTGCCTAATAGGTGCTGCAATGAACCTTCTGCCATTCTTGTTCTGTATTCTCTCCTCTTGAGTTTTCACTGGAGGATCTGTGAATTAGAGATGGTAGTCCATAGTTAGTTATGTTGAGTTTGGAGTCAGACTGACTGGATCAAAACTACTGAATGTTTCCCCTTTCTACATAATTTGAGGGGAAAGACCTACTTAACTGTTCTTATGAGACTTAAAAGAGCTTATCCAAACATAATACTTAAGGCACACAGAACGTGCTTAGCAACTGTCTATGTGCTGAATAGTGCTATAGGTGTTTGGGAAGTAATGATGGTCCCTGTCCTCAGGAAGTAAAGTGTAGTGAAACACCAGTCTCAAGCCTGATGCCTTAAGAGGTGGGAAACATGTGATTTGGAAGACAGTAAAATCTGATGCTTGACACCCCTGGGATCAAGTCCCATTCCTCAACTTCCCCAGTGGCACTCCAAACGATATATCAGTGTACCATCCCGCAGAACCTATGAAAGAGACTGCTTTTGGGAACAGGATCTTTGCAGATATTATTAAGTAAGGACCTCCAAATGAGAGCATCCTTGATTATCCTGATGGGCCCTAAATCCAAAGCCAAGTGTCTTTATAATATATGGAAGACAGGAAGGCATAGAAGAGAAAGACATATGAAGACAGAGACTGCAGTCATGCAGTCCAAGCCAAGGAATGCCTGGAACCGCTAGAAGCTGGAAGGGGCAAAGAATGCTACCCTAGAGCCTTCAGAGGGTGCACAACCTCGGTACTAGCATGATTTCCAGAACTGTTAGAGAATAAATTCTTTTGTTTGACCAGAGCAAGTTTGTGGTGTGTTTCTTCATCTGTAAGATGGGGATAACATCCTAACTAGTCTGATTTCCTAAAGCCTTAAGTGAGGTAACTACCGTCTGGAGGAACTCGCAGAGGTTTAAAATGGCAAGCATTTCTTGAGCGCTTGTTCAAATCATTTATTGTGCTAGGCGCTTTCCATGTATGACTTAGCCATCTATAATTTATTGATCAGGTAACCAAGGTTCAGAGAAATTGAGGGATTTGCCCAAAGCCATCCAACTAAGAAACAGAAAGAAACGAGATCTCAATCATAGCCAACTACAGAGATGTCCCTTTAATGCTCCGTGCTACCCTGATGGTGGGTAAGAGTGAAGCCAAAAAGAGAAGGGGACGACAGAGGATGAGATGTTTAGATAGCATCACTAACTCAACTGAACGAACTCCAGGAGATCGCGGAGGACAGAGGAGCCTGGCGTGCTGCAGTTCATGGTATCACAGAGAATCAGACACGACTTAGCGACTGAAGAACAAGGAGAAGCCCGGCCAGCCAACCTTCCACTTCCACAATCGGTCAGCCTTCACTAGAAGCCGCCCGCTCTGCGGCCGGGAAGGGAAAGGGTTAATGAACGTCACTTTGAGTAGCCAGCAGTACGTCATTGACCACGGATACTTTCTAGGGCCAAAACTCCCGTGGCGCCGCACTCGCGCCTCTAGATGACGTATGATAGACGCGGACCAGTAGAAACGCCGTATTTCCGTTCTTCCGGCTACTCCCAGTCCCTTAACTCTAGCTCGGCTGAGGAAGAAGGGAAAAAGGGGGCGGAGCAAGGCGGGGAAGCGGAAGCCGCAGCGGCGGTGCCGGGACCCGCGCCTGCCAGGGCCACACGTGTGCGGTGAGTGATGGGGACTCCGCGGCTGCTTCGGGAGGGCCTCGCTCCCTGCCCGGTGCTGGAGTCGGAGGGTTTCTGAGGTAGAGGTTTCACCCCTGTCACCCGCCGGGCGGCTTTCTGTGGCCGTTTCTGTTGTGGGAGTTTGGGGATTGACGGGAGCCTGGGGACAAGGGCGAGTGCACAACGCGTGTCCCTACCACGCTGCCTAGAGAGTGCTGGGTTAGCTTTTATTACCTTCTGCCTCTAAAGTCCGGGTCTGGGCTAGTTTGCTTTCAGCCTTTCTGTTGTATGTTTGACACTCACTCTGCGCCCGCTCAGGGCCAGGTACCCCGTTTGCAATCGGAATGTACAGTTGCAAGTGGTAAGCGCTGGAAAGAAACGAACTGGGTGCCGAGATAAAGGATGGGGGAGTTTAAGGAAGTGATCTTTAAGCCGAGACGCAGAGCGTGGCTAGAGGCAACCCTGAAATCTGGAGGTTCAGGGAAAACTACCTTCAGCAGAAGCAGTGGCTTGAGCTGCGTCCCTGAGGTGGGAGCTGTAGAGAGGTGACCAAGGTCGTGAGCTGGAAGTTCAGGCATATAAGATAATACGGGATGGGGGGTCGAGGTTCTGTAGAACTTTGAAAGCCGTGGTGGGAGTTTTGATTTTTCTACAACGGAAGAATATTCCTGTTTGTAGAGCGCAGGAAAGGCTTATAAGCAAGGGAGAAACACAATAGGCCCGGGTTCTTTTTGGTAAATGTATAATAATTTGGAAGGTTATTGATTATATAGTTGGATTATTGATGATTTGCATTAGGGCGGTGGTCGTGGAGATCGAAGTTGAAGGGTTAGAGGTGTTTTTAAAAGATTGGCGAAGACTTCCTGAAGGGTTGAATGTAGCAGAGGAAGAAGAGGAAACTATTACAGGTAATCTTGGGTTTTTTTCCTTGAACAGTGGAATGGATGGTGGGCTACTGATGAAATGGGCAAAATTAGGTGAGGATGTTATTGTTTGGGGGTAGTTTGCAGTGATTATATAGTTAAAGAATTCAGTATTTCGGTTCTGTTAAGTGGAAAGGGCCTGTTAGACACTTAAAAGTTTCGGGGGAGCAGTTAGATACACAAGTCTGTAGCTCAAGGAGATGTTCCTGATGGTGAAATACATGGGGTTCCAGCATAGAAAGTCATAGGATTGCATGAGATCATCAGAGAGAAGTGAGGAGAGAAAGGAGTGCCAGCATTCAGAAGTTGGATATTGAAAGGTCAGTACTTTCAAGTGCAGTGCTGAGCCTGCTGAGAGGAGTAAAGATCACTCAGGATAAGTCACGTGTCCTTCTGTGTCTGGGAAATCTTTACTGTTTTCTTTCATGGTTCTCTCGGCTCTATGACTCTCAACACTTTCTGTGTGTTTTGGTTGTAATGCTTAAGTATGCCATGTTTTGATTTTCTCCTTGTCTGTCTCTATTACAGCACACTATTTTTTTTTTTTTTTTGGTTCATTTGTATATGTATATTTAGAAACCTGTTACCGCATTTCAAGTTCAAAATGTTAAGTTATAAGCTCATCAGAATGTGCCATAGGAATAAGAGAATCATTTGAGAAGTAAGGAAGGCACATGGAGGGAAAATGATTAGAAATTGTCATTTAGGCTGGTTTTGAAGGATGGGTACTAATAAAGAATGGCTTTAAATTTTGGCTTATGAGAAAGACTACTGAGGGAATAAAGTTTTCTTCAGTGTGGTGTTGTGATGTGGGTGAGTTAGGACCAAGTTTTACCAGGGCTTCCCTGGTGGCTCAGCTGGTAAAGAATCCTCCTGCAATGTGGGAGACCTGGGTTCAATCCCTCGGTTGGAAAGATTGCCTGGAGGAGGGCATGGCAACCCACTCCAGTATTCTTGCCTGGAGAATCCCCATGGACAGAGGAGCCTGGCGGGCTACAGTCTGTCAGGTCCCAAAGAGTCAGACACAACTGAGCAACTAAGCACAGCACACAGACTGAGTTTGAAATCTTTCCTGTAAGCAGTGGGAAACTTCTGAAGATGTTGAAGCAGGTAAATAACATGGGATAGATGTAATAATGGACGATTAATCAGGCAGCAGGGAGTGGAATCATAGCAAATTGAATCTAACAGCAGAAAACAATCTGAACAAGAGATAAAGTGTCTGAATGGAGTAATGGAAGGGAAAAAGAGGAGATGATTCCAAGACACTGGAATGTGATGGTTGGATGTTATGGTACAGGGTCTACAAGCAAATGCAAAAAAAAAAAAAAAAAGACTTGTGTATCAGCTATAATTCAGTTCTCCTGCAAGTGATAGAAACCCCAGATGACAATGGCTCCATTCAAGTTAGAGGAGTTTCTTTCTCTCTCACTGAATCACAGTGCAGAGGCCAGCAGTTCCATCATCAGCAGAAACCCAACACCTTTCTAACTTGCCACTCTTGCAGTCTCAACACAGGCTTCTACCTCATGATCCCAGAGGGCTGCTGATGCACCAGCCATTATGTGTAGGTTCCAGTGAGCAGGGAGAAGGGGATGAAGAAGGGTGCCCTTTTCTCTTTGTCACACTTCCACTTGGACCCTACTGGTTGATCCATCTGCCAACACAGCAGTGCAACTTTGGGGGAATTTGAAAAAGGCAATCCCTCTACCAGACACAGGCCTGAGGACACACAGCTTGACAAGGCCACAGTGCCTTTGTGCAAACTGGAAAAATGGTGAATTAGTCCATCACTATCCTTTCTCAAGGCAGACCTGGGACACAGCCCTGTGCTGGGGACCCACTAGGTTAAGCAGAGGGTATGTTCTCTAGGCCCACCATCTCTGCTCCAAACTCTCACACTGGGCACAGCTGGCATTAGTCAGCATGGGAGGCTGCCCTGCTGACCTGAATATGGTAACATGGCCAATTTTAGCTGCAAGGGAGGCTGGGAAGTGGAATCTTTATTCAGTGGCCACAGGCTCAGCTTAAAATAGGGGTGTTGTTCCAAAGAAGTCCTAAGGAAGAAAAAAGTAGGGTGCTGGTTTGAGTCTCTGCCACACCCTCACCCCAGCAACCCTTTAAAATGAAACCCCAAATGACAGACAGCTGGCTCAGGACACTGGGGTCCCAGAGGGCAACCTGGTATAGTACCTTGGGTCCAAATCCATGGTCATTCCACACAGCTGATGGACATTCCCTGCTGGGGTGGTGGACATGGGTCATGCTTGGCAGTACCCAGCAGGAAGGGGTCTCCCTGGGCTGTGGTTGCCTCATCTTATGACTCACATCCTGGAGGGAATCCAAGTCCACCTCCCAACCTCTGGACCAGAGCAGCAGTCACTCTCCCATCAATCCAGGCAGCTAGGTGCAAGCCCCAACATGCTTGGAGAAGAGACTCGCCGCCTTGACCAGGACCAGGGCCTGGGCCACCAGGAGGGAGGGGGGATGTGGAGCTTCTCCACAGGGTCTGGCTGGCATGCAGAGGGCAGTGCCGCCCCACCCGCTGGTGGCAGCAGCATGACTGCCTCCCCATCCCTGGTGTGACCCACTGTGGGTGGGTGGCCAGTCTGAGCCTGCCTCCAGCTTCCTGTCAGTCAGATCCCCAGGTGGTCCCCCTTTTGAACAAACCCCAGGCTGTGGGGGTCATGGCAGAAGCCCTGAGGTGGCCCGTCCCTTCCACCACCACTGCCAGGGATGGCTGGGTTTCCATCCTGCCCACGTTCTCCGTCACAGCTGAGCACAGGGTGGGTTCCAGGAGAACGCACACTTCCTGGAGCCGAGCCAGTCAGAGAAGGAAGCAGCTGTCCTCCATGCCAGTCTGGGAGTGACTTGAAGGACTCCTGCCCCGATTAACATAGAAATACCGTCTCCAGCAGAAATACCTTCCCAAATATTCATTGGAAGGACTGATGCTGAAGCTGAAGCGCCAATACTTGGGCCACCTGATGCAAAGAGCCAACTCATTGGAAAAGACCCTGATGGGAAAGATTGAAGGCAAGAAGAAAAGAGGATGACAGAGGATGAGATGGTTGGATGGCATCATCAATTCAGTGGACATGAGTCTGAGCAGACTCTGGGAGATAGTGATGGACAGGGAAGCCTGGCATCCTGCTATCCATGGGCTGCAAGGAGTTGGACACAACTGAGAAACTGAACCACTGCAGTGCTTCATTCCTTAGAATACTGGTGTGGCTCACATGCCTCCACATGGACGCAGAGGTGTGCAGACTAACATGATTTATCTACCAAATTAGTATCAAGAGAGAAGCAGCGGTGAGGGGTGCTGGGCATGCTCACCCCCTTCCCGGGGGTGGGCCTCTGCCAGCTCCAGACCAGGGGAAATCAAACTCGGACAATCCCTGGGGAAGGTGGCCTGGTAGCAAGGGCCTTAAAATGCTCCCTCCCTCACCAGGTAGCACTGAGCTCCCAGCAGGGATCAGGTACTGGGGCTTCCTTGCTCGTGGGAGGAGTCATACAAGAAATAAAACACCTGGAGAGGGCTAGAAACCAACAGAGGACAGATAAAAAGTACAGCGTGCACACATGGAGGAGAATTCAGACTTGAAAAGGAACATCCTGACACGCGGATGAGCCTGCAGGACGTGATGCCGAGTGAAGTAACCTGGTCACTGAAGGACAAACACCGAAAGGTCCCACTCACAGAGGCCCCTGGAGGAGTCAGCTTCCCAGAGACGGGAAGTGAGAATAGTGGGGGCCAGGGGCAGAGTCAGGGTGACAGGAAATGAAATAAATTGTGCACTCATGGTAAATGTTATGATATGTGTACTTTACCACAATTTCACAAAGAAAGGAAAATCAAGGAAAGGGTT